GTATATTCTGGTTTTAATTGAAAATTAAATAAAAACATTTCTAATATTTCATTACTAATAATTAATTTCTTTTGTTAGACAAATATGTATAATTCTAAAATAGTTCTATTTCTAGTTAGTAACGTTGCTCATTCATTTTGTTCAGCCAACACATATCATTGAATGACATTATATGTTTATGATTCTTTGGGGGCAAAGTGTACTTCTTGTGTAAGACATATCTCATTAGGGAGACAGACTGTGGTGGTTTGAATAAAAGGGGTCCCAAGGGCACATATGTTTGAATGCTTGGACCCCAGTTGGTGGAACTGTTTAGGAAGGATTAGGAGGTATGATCTTGTTGGAGAAGGTGTGTCACTGGGGGTGGGCTTTGAGGTTTCAAAAGCCTACACCATTCCCAGTGTCTCTATCTTTGCTTCCTACTTGCAGATAAGAGTGTAAGCGCTCAGCTACTGCTCCAGCACCATGCCTGCCTGCCTGCCTGATGCTGTGCTCTCTGCCATGATGGTCAGGGACTCTTACCTTCTAGAACTGTAAGCCCTCATAAACTCTCTCTTCCATTAGTTGTCTTGGTCATGGTCTAGCATAACTAAGACACAGATAATAACATTTGATATAAAATATGAGGTTAATAAAAGTTTGGATCTCATTCAAATTTTTTTGTGCCATGAATATCTAGCGATGATATTTTTTCACTTGAACCAGTGAACATATGCATCATACAAATAATACTAACTTTTTTCTCATAGTTTTGTAACTTTGAAGTATAGTATTATATAAAGATATTACACTTCAATTCTTCTGTGAGATTGGTAAGAATTTGTAAATGATAAATGCATTGAATTTTATGTTGAAAATTCTTGGAAATCTGGAGAATGCTCTCTGATAATGTTGGTCTGATTAAATTATAAAATTATAAGAGATTATCCTTGAAATTAATCTTTCTATCTCTACTCTGAATTTTTCTCAGTGCATCTAAGGCAGATTTGAATTGTGTTATATAGGGGGAGAGTGACAGGAACAGGAATAGGGGTAGAATAAGAGGGAGGAGGGATGCAAGAGGAAAGAGGAAGGGAGGAGGGAAAGAGGAGGGAGAGAGAGGCAGCAGTGGGGGCTGGGTGGGGGACACAAAAGGAAACTGGGGCACAGAGACAAAGGCCCCAGTGAGTGGCAAAGGCAGGTTTTAACCCCAGGTCATGCTACTCAGTCCTGTGTATAGAGGAAGAAAGGTAAGGAATGCTGCTCTAACCAGTACGAAATTTCAGTGCTCGACAGAACAAAATGTTGGTCCTTCTCATGCAACACAAGTGATGGGATCAGCTGTCTTCTCTTCAGAGCTCAGAATCCCAGGCTGTTTCCACCTTCTGTCAAGCTAGTATCAGTAATTGCTTCTAGTCACCAGGGTAGGAGAAGGGAGAAAACACAGACACTCAGATTTAAAAGTCTAGGACTGGGACGACACAGAACTCTTCTCATGTTTCATGGGCTGGGGCAAACCTCCAGGCCAAGCCATGCTTCAAGAATGTGATGCTCGCCTGTGTCCAGACGAGAGAAGAACCAGATGCATTGGTGACAGCCCTGTTGTCACCTTGGTATGCAGTCTAGCTCCAGTTCTGCTACTGACTTTCAACAGGTCCCCTTGTTTCCAATTTTAACATTTGGACAAGACAGTATTTGTTTGCTCAACGGACACTTATTGTTTGGGTCAAGTACCGTATGACCACGGAAATAAAATGATAAATTTGAGGAAATTTCTGCCCTCAGATATTTGCTATTGTCTCAGCTTCAGGTAAGTGGGAGGATAACATGTGTAAGCCATCATACATGGTCTTAATTTCATGAATCTTGGTGACAGACCTCAGTTCTAAAATTCCAAGTTTCTATTTAAAAATACTACAGAGTCATATTCTAGATCCTCAAGCATTCTCTCAGATGTGTCTTCTTTTGAGCACCTATTTCTCTTGAGAGCCTGAATTCTCTAGACTGGAGTGAAAGTTCAGAAGCAGAGACAAATGCCATCACTTCCATACCACTGTGCATACACATACGTGTGTGTGTGTGTGTGTGTGTGTGTGTGTGTGTGTGTGTGTGTTTGTGTGTTTGTGTGTGTATGTGAATACATGGGGTATGTCTGTCTCTGTGTGTGTGTGTTTGTGTGTTTGTGTGTGTATGTGAATACATGGGGTATGTCTGTGTGTGTGTGTGTGTGTGTGTGTGTGTGTGTGTGTGTGTGTGTGTGCACATGTGGTGTTTGTGTATATTCTGGAACATACTATGGAAATAAAGAAGTTCCTGCACAAGTCTCAGCTATTTTGAACTTAATATGGAGAATGGTAGCAAGGAAGTATGATTGAGAAATTTTGGGACAGACAACTTTGCCACACCACGTACATCCCAGACACCAGCGTTTTTCTTCTCTCATGAATAAACCAAATTATGAAACTTAGAACATTTCCAAAAATTGGCTTTACAGTTAACTTTTCCCTGGAGGGATATTTATTGGCATGAAGCAAGAATATGAATAACAGTAACAGCAAGTACAAAACTGATTGCCAAGTAATTTTTTAATCTCTTAGAACTTGAAGTAGGTGCCAAGTTTTAATTTTCTTGTTGTTGCCAGTTAAAATAGCTAATGCTTAAAAAATTTGTAAGAATTGGATGCATTGTCTTTAAGCATAATATAACAGTTGAAAATTTGAGTGAAATATGCAAAGAATTTCATTTCCTTTCTGCTGACGTGGTTGTGGGATTTCCTTTTTCTCTCAACACCAAGCATCATATTCTTAAACCAACGCCAAAAGACAGGGGAACAGAAGTTGACTATTCCTCTGTTTTCTTCAGGCATCCTGTTGGCTATCCCTCATGTAAGAGATATTTTCACAATGTAACAGGTTTGGATTGATTTGGCGCTTGTTTGTTCTACCTTACTGTGTACACCTGTTCGTGCACATGCATTGTGTGTGTGTGTGCACATGCTAGTGCATGGACATGCAGGGTACAGAGGAGGACATTGATGTCTTTCTCTCTTGCTTTCTGTCTCATTCCTAAGACAGGGTTCCTCACTAAAGCAGAAGCTCACTGTTTGTGTGAGGCTGGCTATCTGCAGCCTCTGAGAATCTGCTTCCTGTCCCTGCCCCCAGGTCCCTGGGGTCCAAGCACATGCAGCCATGCCTTTTAAAAAATGTGATGCTGGGGCTTTGAACTCAGGCCTTCTTGCTTGTAGAGCAAGAGCCCTTACCCAAGGAGACATCTCCCAAGTTCTTGTTTGACTTTACTTAATATTGACATGCTTATTTCCTTTCTCAAAAGCAGAACCAGTGGAGGGAGAGAAGGGGAAGGTTGGCCAGATGGTACCAAGTTATAGCTAGACAAGAGACAGACATTGTGCAGTAGAGTGACTATAGATAGTTGACAGTGTATATACATTTCAAAGAGCTATAATAACAGATTTTGATTTTTTTCACAAAATACTAAATGTTTGACATTGAGATATTTATCCTAATTTGAATATTATACAAGATATACATGTATTTAAGTATTCCATAATACTCCATGAAAATGTACAATTTAAAAAAAATCAGTAAAATGAGGTTAGAGACAATGGTCAAATATATCAAAAACTCTGGATTTCCCACTTGGCATCCGACACTCATCACTGGGAATTCTTAAGAGTAAAACCAATAATCAGAGTGCTTGGTCTAGACATGGCTTATTGTGGGAAGGCAGCAATGGTCAGAGAAGTTCTCAGTAGCCATCTGTATTTCCCACATGCATCATCTCTTGAGTGACCCAGCCTACAGAAATGATACCAAGTGCTACCTTGTGACTCCCAAATCCATACCTCTTGTCACACCTTCCTCTGTGACAACCATTTCAACCACCAAAATGCACAAACATGGCACCTTCCTATCTTCATCTGCTGGTGTTAACAAAATATGCTGGGCTGAGACACTTGTAGAATTTATTTCTTTTCTTTTCTTTTTTTATTTTAATTTTAATTTTTATTTTTCGAGACAGGGTTTCTCTGTGTAGTTTTGTGCCTTTCCTGGAACTCCTTCTGTAGTCCAGGCTGGCCTCGAACTCACAGAGATCCGCCTGCCTCTGCCTCCTGAGTGCTGGGATTAAAGGTGTGCGCCACCACTGCCCAGTGTAGAATTTATTTCTTACAGTCCCAGAAGCCAGGCTATCTAAGACCAAGGTCCTGGAAAGTGTGATGTGTGGTAAGAGCTTGGTCTGTTCCCAATGCACACTGAACTCTGCCTCCTCTGTGGATGGCAGAAGGAGAGATATTGAAGGCAGAAGGCTTATCTGGTTCTTCCTGTCCTTTCTACAAAGCCCTTAATGGCATTTACAAGCGTTTTGCCCCATGATTTAATTCCTCAACATGCACCTCTTTATTCTATCACACAGCACATTAAATAGGGTTAATGACATTTGGAGATTTGAAAGTGTCCATATTACGTCAAACCATGGCACCTTCATCAACCCCAAAGTAATCCAGCCTTCCCAGTATGGTTCCTGTCTTTGGTCAGGCTTACAGTAAGCATTCCCTGCTCCACACAGCCCCATGGTTTTTCTCACAGGAAACTCTGAGCTCACCAGAGTCCCTGTACCACACCTGCCCTCTATCAAAAGCCAGGTCTATTCTGCCCTGTGATATTTTTCTGGTACAACTGCCTGCTAAGGAGGTTTCAGTATACCATGAAGGTGATAGTATTGCTACCACGAGGGTGATTGCTATTATTGACTCAGGGCCTCACTATATAGCCCAGCTTGACCTTGAACTTGTAATCCTTCTGCTTTGGCTTCCTGAGTGATAGGATTACAGGTAGGTACAATAAGATCAAATTCCAAAGGTAATTGTTTAATAACTATTTTCTGATAATAACAGAAGGGAAACAAAGAAGGGAAAATGTAACTGTTAAGAACAAATGTAAACCATTTGAACACAATATTGACTCTTGGCTTAAAATACCATGTGTGAGGAGAAAAGCATTTACCTTCTGCTGTGGAAATGTGGACTCTGTCATGGCATCTTCAAAGCTTTGGGTCCCGCTGGCCTGCGTCTTCTCCCACAGGGCTTTGAGGAACTGCACAGACCCACTCTGAATGGACAGGGGCTCAGGAAACAGACTCTGTATGGGCATAAGGATGGAGACATTACATTACCTCTTGGCCCAATGATACAATCTGACAGGCTCCAAGGTACTATGGAGGCCTGCTTTGAATGTTAATATGATATAACTTTTAGTGATACACCAGAAATCTATACTGAAGAGCAAATATATGATTTAGTTCACACTTCTGAGTTTCTAATAGAAAATTTAAATTAATATTTATATTTTTGCATATATATGTACCTAAAGCTTGTAATATAATACTATCTTAATGATTTCCCAATAACATTATTTAGTTGGAAAGTGATAAATATAAATATTCATATTGAATTTATCAAAGATCTGAGAATGAAGGCATAAAATTAAAACCGGAATTTAAAAGAGTCTATTCAAGTACAAAGTAGATTACGAAGAATAGAGATCAAATAATAATTAAAGAGTTCATTATATAATTGTGCAATATGACCATTTTGAGTGTGGGACAAATAAAACATTCTTCATCCTAAAATGTGAAATGGGTGACTATTCTTAAAGCTTTAACGTTGTGTTATCAATGAGACATTACATAAAAAAATCAACATTTAAGTAGAATTTAGTACAGCCAATGAGAATGAGCTTTTCAATGGGCATGTTAAATGTATGCTTACATATTTACTAATCTATGATGTGACTGGTAATACTTGATATATTGGAAGGTTCCATTTACAGATGTGAGAAGCCAAATCAATTTAAGAGAAGAATTTTGTAAAAATATATAGAACACCAATAAGTGACATAAATAACATTTATTCACATACAATACCATAAATGTTATTTGTTATCGTGAGGTAGATACAGTAATGAGACTGGCTTATAAGTTATATTTTCATGACAATGACTGAGACCTTCTAGATGGTCTGTGTATACAACCTTCTACTTAGTGAGTAAGAAATACTAAATATTTCTCTAGGAAAATCTCATGATTATCATCATAATGAGTGACTGTCCTCTTGTGCTGACTGTGAAAAGTGGAGAATTGTGGACCCCAAGTTAGTGACTGACAGATTTTTTTTTATTAACTTTAAAAAATGTATATTAACTTTTTTGGGAATTATTTATTTTTATTTTATGTGCATTGGTGTTTTGCTTGAATGTATGTCTGTGTGGGGGTTTGGATCCCCTAGAACTGGAGTTGCAGACAGTTGTGAGCTGCTGTGTGGGTGCTGGGAATTGAACCTGGGTCCTCTGGGGGAGCAGCCAGTGCTCTTAACTGCTGAGCCATCTCTCTAGCCCAAATGACAGATTTTAAAAGTTTATGAACCAGCAACTGACTGAAATTTACTTGGTGCACACACCCTGGATTTTCTGATTATTTTCAGAATCATTACAGTACATGACGTTTTGTTTCAAGAAGAGCAGGGCTCTATTTAATGAATCATTAATCCAAAGAGGAACAGGATCTAAGTCTGAGAACTCCGGGAATGTGGGAGGCTGACATGACAAGGAGAGTCGGCCAAGTAGACAAGACCAGTGATGGCTTTGTACTCACTAAATAAATGAAAGTTTGTTGTGGCTTTGCCCCAAGCCAGGATTTACCCAGATTGCATAAATCATAGATACGAACAAAGAGAAAGCACTACAATAAGATAAACTCAAAGAAAACATTACAAAGATATACTTTCTGGGGATTTCCTTAAAGAGGAAGAGAAAGAATCAGATTATCAATAAAACAAAATGGAAAGAATGAAAAAAAAAGTTTTCTTGGTGTGTTTTCAGAAAGTTAAGAACAAAGCCCAACATGGAGCCAAATACAAAAATCACTGATGAAAACTATTTGAAAAAATATGAGTAGAGGAAAATTAATATTATTATTATAAGAAAAAAGAATGTTACTTTTTATGTTTATGTGCAATTTGGCTCACACCAAAGTCTGAGCTGTTCTTTGCAAGATGTTATTGTTCTTAAGAAGACATACCACAATAAAAACTGGCAGATTCTACACCTTTCCTTACTGTAGTTATATTTTATGACTATGAAGCAGTCAGGACTACATTTCATTGTTTTTTTAATAAGCCTGACTTCATAAAGAAATGTTAGACTGTTTTGACTCGTGACTTTAAATTTTATTTAATTTTGATTTTTCCTTGTCTTAGAATTTTTTGTTTGAAAATTTCATGTATGCATATAAGGTGTTTGATGGAGTCCACTCCTCTATTCCCTCCTCTCCAATTCCTCCTCTATTCTCCTACTACAATTCCTTCCCAGTTTCACATGTCCTGTCTTTTCTTTTCAAACCTAGTAAACCCACTATATTTATGGGTATTTGACCACCCCCTGGAGCATTGGTAGCCTCTCAGGGGCTGTATCCTGGAAATGCTAACTAACTCTCTCAAAGCATCCATCAATTGCCAATAGCTTCTCAGCTAGGAGTGGAGCTTCATGACCATCTCCAAACTCATGCTGTGATCTTGTGTAAGCTGTTGCAACCACCATACATTGATGTGCAGCTGTTACGTTGTGTCTGTTTTGCTGTGGTCATCCACTACCTTTGGCTTTTAAAATCTTTATACCCTCTCATCCATGATGATTCCTGCCTTGGGAGGAAGTGTGTATAATGTCCCATTTAGGGCTGAGCATGCTTTTATGCTTTACATGTTGGCCAAATGTGGGTCTCTGTGTCAGTTATTAATTGCCATCTACTGTAAAAAAAAAATAGCTTCTTTGATGACGGTTGGGTGTAGATGTAACCAACCGTCTTATTAAATAAGAAACACAGAAACAATGTAAAAGAGAAAGCCAAGAGGTCAGAGCTCAGAGCTAAAATCTCACCCTTCCTCCTGCTGTCCCAGCTTCCAGAAAGAGAGCTATTTCCTTTTTTTTAGTTGATTTTCCAGTCATTCTGCCTTCTCATTGGTTGTAAACCCAAACACGTGACTGCCTCGTCACTGTCTGAATGTACAGCCCCCTAGGTCTTAAAGGCATATGTCTCCAATGCTGGCTGTATCCCTGAACACACAGAGATCTATGGGATTAAAGGCATGTGCCACCACCGCCACACTCTGTCTATGGCTCTAATAGCTCTGACCCCCGGGCAACTTTATTTATTAACATACAATCAAAATCACATTTCAGTACAATTAGAATACCACCACAGTTGGGTGACACACTATTCTATTGGTATAACAATAAGTCTTTAGGAGACATTGTTTAATATTATGCCCATTTAGCAGAAAAATAGTAGTACTTTTCTCTCTGAGGGCCTGTGCTCTACCTAACCATGAGTTCTTGACCCTGTTACTGATGCCAGGCATGAGTTCCACCTTGTGGAGTGGGCCTCAAGTCCAACCGGAAGCTGTTTGGTTACCCCGATTTTTGTGCCACTCTTGTGCCAGTGTGTAATCTTTTCAGGCCACTGACTGTAGCTCGCAGAACTTACAGTTGGGTAAGGCTGATAATTACTTTTATCCCCTGGTATCATGTGTGCTGCCGTTCAGCACTGTAAAAACTAGCCAGTGGGGACAAGGCTTCCAAGTTGGTACCAGCTTGATTTCTTTATATTGCTTGATTCAAGTGTGTGATGTCTTCAGCAATGCAGTCTTCTCATGATGTTCTAGAGCATGTTATTCTCAACATGTGGGGTTGCAGCCCCTTTGACAAACCTCGATCTCCCGAAATATTTACATTATGATTCATAACAGTAGCAAAATTTCAGTTATGAAGTAGCAACAAAATAATTTTATGATTGGGGTCACCACAACTTGAGGAACTGTATGAAAGGGTCACAGCTTGAGGAAGATTGAAAACCATTGTTTTAGAAGGCAACACAAGTAACAGCAAAAGCTTGTCATGGTTAGTTACCTTTGAGACCTAACAGGCGAACACTGTGAAAAGAGGTAACCTATATTGGACACTAGGCTTTATATTTGATAACCTCTGCTGTCTAGGAAAGGCATTGTCCACCTGTAATTTTTAAATATTCCATTAATTTGAAAAATGTTATTAATTAGTTAATTAACTAATTGTGTGTGTGTTTATGGGCACGTGCGTGCTATGTTATACAGATGTGCATGTCAAAAGATAATTTGCACAAGTTGGTCTTCTTCTGTGTGGATCAGGTGAATTAAACTCAGGTCATCAGAGCCACCTCGCTACCTCAGGTGATTTTTGTAGGTATTATTATAGAAATATTTTATTAATTGAAGTAATTATATGGTTGAATCACTTGGCTTGATTTTCAACCATATTACAACACTCAGATCCTTCATTTTCAATTCTGCCCACCCTTCTATTACCTGCAAATATTTCCCATTTTGTTTTCAAAATACAGATGTTGTTGGTTGCCTTTTAATCTTTGAATCTTTTGGGGGCCTACTACTCAGCTCCCAAATAAATACAAGGAAGCTTATTCTTACTTATAAATGCTTGACCTTAGCATGGCTTATTTCTAGACAGCCTTTCTTTACTTAAAATATCCCATCTCTTTTTGTTTCTGGGCTTTTATCTTTCTCTATTCTATATACCTTTCTTTACTTCTTACTCCGTGGCTTGCTGTGTAGCTGGGTGGCTGGCCCCTGGAATCCTCCTCCTTCTCTCACTCCTAGATTTCTCCTCCCAGACTTTTCCTCCTATTTATTCTCTCTGCCTACCAGCCCTGCCTATCCTTTCTCCTGCCTTGCTATTGACCATTTAGTGCTTTATTAGACCATCAGGTGTTTTAGACAGGTAAAGTAACACAGCTTCCCAGAGTTAAACAAATGCAACATAAAAGACTGAATACACCTTTGCATCATTAAACAAATATTCCACAGCATAAACAAATGTAACACATCTTTAATCTTCTACAACACACAGGCAACAATGAAAAGATCACTGAATTGGAGATCCAGTGATCTGAGTTGTGCTCTTCAATTTCCTTAATTAATAAAAGTGATGTTTAAGGTCTCTTCTAGTACTGACATCTCACATTCCACCTTTATATTTTAAGTGCAAATTTAATGCTTCTAGGGAGCAGTTTTAAATAAGAATCTCTTTTCATGTTGCCATTTTGGTATAAAATCTTCATCGTTAAGTTGAAAATTTTTCAATAAACGTGATTATAACCATATGTGCTAGCAGCTCATCCAGGAGCCCAATGAGCTTGACTTATACACACCTGCTGGAAGAGGAACATGATCTGTATCCATGGCTGGGGTGCTTGGCTGATGAGGATGAAACTGGACTTGCTGTACAGGCAGTAATGACCCTTTAAGGAACAGGTAAAGAACAGCTTTGCCACACAACTTTTCATGGTATCTGGAAATAATATAGTATCAAACATTAGTTATGCTTTATGATCCAACACGTAAGCACCTTTAGGAACCATTCTTGAGTTTTCCAGCAGTGAGCTAATGACTCCAAGCAACTCTGGATTTGGGAGTGGATCCATTTCATAGAAGGTACATATTTTAATGTATGTAAATGTAAATATGTTCAAATGAATTTGGCTGAGACAGATTGTACTCTGACAACTTTGATCTTCTTTTAAATACCATGCAATGAGGAAAAGATTAGGAAACTCCCAGAGAAATGAAAGCCATTGAGTTACTATAAAGTCTGCATGTCACCATGCTGTAGTCATTTGATTGGACACATTGAAGTGGGGACATTGGAGGATAAACTAATGAATGAATAGAGGAAATGCAGAATCTACTGGTGGTGGGTAGTGTGCTTCCAACTGTTAATGCTGTTCTTTTGGCTGTGTGTGAACCATAAAGATAGCTTCCAATAAATCCCTCGCAGAAACGTAGGCTCCTGTGCCCTGACCTCACTTGGTTAGAGAGGCAATCTCAATCTGAAAATCAATGACCTGTAGATTCAATGGAATCGTTCCTTACGGACAAAAAAGTGGTAGGAGGGCAATATGGGGCCGAAGCAGTGAAGGACCATACAATTAGACAGTCAAGAATAAATGGATGAGTGAATGTTGTAAGTACAGGTTGAGACTGTATGTGCTAAACACTGTGTGAAGTTCTAGATAGTAACAATTATCCTCGATTGACTTCCACATGTTTACACGCTGGATTCCTTGAAGTTTTCCAACCCTGTAAGATGAATGATGTTATTGTTTGCATCTTAAATGTCACCCAAAGTCTCCTATGTTAGAAGCTTGGTCACTAACTAGTGGACTTTGAGGATGAGGGTGACTAGTCATGAAGATTCTAGCTCCATCAGTGAATTAATCCATTAATAGCCTCATAATTTGATAGCATTATTGGGAGGCAGTAGGAACCAAGAGGTGAAACCTATTTGGAAGTAGTAGGTCATACTAAGGGCACGCCCTGGAAGTATATATCATAACCCATCCCTCGTCCCCTCCCTCACCCAGCTGCCTCCAGGAGAGCATCTTCCTCTTCCATGCATTTCACCACCGTGGTATTCTATATTACCTCAGGTATAAGCCACAGAAGCCAGGTCACCATGGACTGAATCTTGGAAACCTTGAGCCAGAAAATGTTTTCCTTCTTTAATTAGTTCCTACTGGCATTTGTCACAGCAATGAAAAGCTAACTAATGCAGATGTTACCATTTCTCCTTTAAAAGTGAGGACTCAGGTCATTAGAAAGTTAGTCTAGTGAACCGCTGAGACCACCTTGCTTACCTTCTAACCCTGCATACTATGGATTAGTAAATAAATAGATACATTGTGTTTAGACAGATGAATGATGTTCAGGGACCCAGAAAAAAATGTTCATTTTTTTAACCCTATATCAGTTTGAGCCACGATTTGAACCAAGCAGGGTTGAAACCATGTTGAGATACATTAAAATCTACATACTAGAGGGATATTTAAACTTGTGGAGTCATATTGATAAATCACCAGGAATTTATTGTTTCAGAATTAATCTGACTTTTAAAATGAAGTGTTTTTAAAATTGTCAGATGCATTATGTCCTACTCATAAGAGTAGAAATGTATTAGAGTTTCTTTTTCTTTTTATAGAAGGTATGTATTTTATATGTATGAGTGCTTTGTCCGCTTGTATTTCTGTGCCCCATTTGTGTGCTTGGTACTCACTGAGGCTGAAAGAGGGCACCAGCTTCCCTAGGACTGGGGTTCCAGATAGTGGTGAGCCATCATGTGGGTGCTGTGTATTTATGCTTTGTTATAAATAAACACCAATTAGATTTACTTTACTCACACTGGGACTCTGTTTCATATATGAACCACAGGGTCTCAGATCACATAAAATGGTCAAAGCACTGGAAGAGGAACACCTTCACCCAGGAGCATGCACACTGGCCGTGGAAATAAGTCGGCTCTGGAGAGTGAGGTTTCTGTTAAACCTCCAGCAAACTCAGTCTCTTTCGATATTCTCATATTTTCTTCAGAGCTTTCCAAGCTTGGAAATCTTCTATATCATTAAATTTTAGTTGTCATTTTTCTCTGTGATTTTCCCCTCTGATGCACCACAGAGCATTAAATGGCAGACATGAAATAGTTGCTGGATGAATGAATGATTAATTAATATGGGTCACTAGCCTGAGAAGAATTAGAGGCCATGTTGCTACCATGCTTATATCTAAATGAGACACATTTGTAAACAATGGTCACAACTTGCTTTAAGCTCATGAAACAACAGACATAGAGCTATTGTTGCTGAGAGAAATGAGTAAGGCATTCCAACGGGAGATCAAGGGAAGAGGGAAATGCTTGAGCTACACCTTGGAAAAAAACCCAAGACTTTGTACTTAGAAAAAGCATTTTAAGTAGAATTGTGCAAAGACTTGCCCTTAAATTTTTCTGATTAAAGAACAATTCTGATTCTGAAAAAAAAAAAAAAGGTGAATTGTGCCTATGGGATGACATCTGAGACTGTCTTTTGGTCTCTGTGTGTCCACCTGCATAGACACATGAACCCTCTCCACATAGTTTAAAGGCCATTGGTGCAATATTATGGTTTCTTGTTCAAACATAATCTCTTAGAAGAAAACCTCAGAGGAGAGGGCCTTCTCCATTCATGAACATACAGCTGCTGAAGCAACAATACAGTATCTCATACCGTATGTGTGAAGTTAAACCATTTAGGGATCTACTTTACTGAGTCCTGGGATGAACCCCTTGATTGACAGGGGCAATAAGGGGATAATCACACAATACACTTTTCTAGGATTTGGATGCTATAAGGCAAGCTCTTGGTTGAACTGCTAAATTTCCATGAGCACTGATGAGGATCCCCAATGCTCACATGCTCCCACTTTAGGAGGCCTGGAACCTGCTCATGCCTGTGAGGAACTTGGCCACCTATCAAGGGCAGCAATCTCATATGGGAAGTTTGATCTTAGCACCATCCAGGAGGAGACAGACGGTCGATAGGCAGGATCACTGAGGTCACTAGTGCTAGTGGATTGGGAATAGTTGGGCTGGGACAAAAAGAACATTCAAAGCACAATAAGCTATGAGTCTTCACTCTCCTCTTTTGGTGGTACCCACTCATCTCTGCAGGGGACCAGGAGGTGGCTCTGAATCTTGCATTGATGTTGCCAGTGCCTCCCCATTTGAAGACTGGTCTAGCCTATGTATGGACTTTCCTGCATCTACCTTGAAGGGCCTAGACAGAAACAACTTGTTCCTTTGTGACCAAGAACTAGTGTCCAAAGACCTCTGCTGATGAACCAACTTCATCTTTTTATGTCTAAGTCTGGGCCTCTTGTTCAGGACCACTTCATTTTTCAAATTTTTTATTTAATTAATTAAAAATTTTCTTTTATTTTACATGCCGATCATAGTTTCCCCTCACCCCTCTCCTCCTGCTTACTCCTTATGCCTCCCGACTACCCCCCACCCCACCAACATCCACTCCTCCCCTTTCTCCATTCAGAAAGGGGCAGGCCTCCCTTGAGTATCAACAAAGCATGGCACATCAAGTTGAGGCAGGACCAAGCTCCTCCCCCTGCATCAAATTGGGCAAGGCTACCCAGCATGGGGAATAGGTTCCCAAAAGCCAGCTCAAGCACCAGGGACAGGTCCTGATCCCACTGCTAGGAGCCCCACAAGCAGACGAAGCTACACAACTGTCACCCACATGCAGAGGGCCTACGTCAGTCCCATGCAGGCTCCCTAGCTGTTGGTCCAGAATCTGTGAGTTCCTGGGAGCTCAGGTTAGCTGTCTCTGTGGGTTCCCCATCATGACCTTGACCCGCCTGGCTCATACAATCCCTCCTCACTCTCTTCAACTAGACTCCTGAAGCTTGGCCCAGTGCTTGGCTGTGGATCTCTGCATCTACTTCCATCTGTTGCTGGCTGTTGTGAATAATGCTGCTATAAATATAGTTGAGCAAGTGTCCTTGTGGTATGATTGAGCATATGCCCAAGATCAGTATAGTGAGGTCTTGAGGTAGATTAATTCCCAATTTTCTTAGAAACTGCCATACTGATTTCCAAAGTGGCTGTACAAATTTGCACTCCCATAAGCAGTGGAGGAGTATTCCTCAGGGCCACTTCTTATATTATTCAGGCTTTCAGTAAGTGTGTGTGTGTGTGTGTGTGTGTGTGTGTGTGTGTGTGTGTTACATTCTTACAGGCCACCGTGTGCTTCACTGGTGTTTCTGTAGTTGGACAACACAGTGGCATCAAAAATTCTAATATAAGTGAGCCACACTCCTAAAAATGGTAGGATAATATGGCCATTCTTGGATGAGTCTGCTGCTCTATTCTATAGGTCCCTTCCATCCATTGTCTCTTGACCACATTTTAAAAATTTTTTATACTCCTTGCATATCAGGAAGCCAAGACCCTACTTCAGGACTTAAGCAAATCTCATATAGCCTACTACAGCTTGTATCAGAACTGGAAGACATGGACAGTATGGTATATTGGAAAAACTGGGTGCCATCCTTGTTCCAATGGAAGACAGCTGTGGACTGGCACAGAATCCCTCTGGCCATGGAGAATGGCCTTACGTAGTACTGTGAGTCTATTCTAAGAGGGAACAATTGTGATTTCGTAGCATGTGTGTATTTATTGATAATTAGCAAATAACAAAATAAAAGTGCTTATATTTTGAATTTGAATAAATGACCTTGTTTCAATTTAGGCTCTACCCTCACTGTTCTCACACATCTCTTGTGGGAAATCCAACACTACTATGTATTATCTGGCCTTTCAGGCTTTTCTCAAAAAGCTTGGATTTTTGAGATGCATCCATGTTACAGATTAGGATGCTAACCCTAACCCTAGCCTGTAAGCATCCATGACCTCCCACCTTCCTCATGGGATGATGCATGCCAAGTTCTGCTACCAGCACCAGCAGGAGG